GAATACGATTACCTCAAAAGTCCGATCGTCGATTCAATAGCTTTTAAAGCGAAGTTGAATAGATGGAGTAATGATGCCAACATCACCCTGTCCCGGAACAGAGGGCAAAGTCCAACGACTTCACTGAGATTGACCATCCTTGTTCCGCAAGACACAGAAGCCTACTCCAGTAAGGAATCAATAGGTTTTCTATATTCTTGGAGTCCTTATAATCTAAGGATTGGTGGGGCGCCACAAATAATCACAGTCCTAAAAGGTTGCAATATCTACTACCTAGATATTATTTAGGATTGTCCTGGTTTAATATAGACTCCCTATCCTAAATGGTCTTTATCATGACTGGTACAAATACACCTTCTAGAGTTCATCTCTAGTAACGCAATTATCGTACACTTATTCTCTAGTTTACTGCTTGAGCCTTGTAATATTGTTTACTAATTTGACTGTTAGATAGCCTTTGACCTGCACACACCACGTCCAATCTTTGCTACTTATTGTTGTTTGTTCTTTTATAGGTTATTCGAGTTTGTGCATCTCTATCCTTCATGGCGGTGTCCGAATTGGGTTCCAACATTAATTAATGTACCAAAGTTATAGTTTGCATATAAATGTAAGTAGGAGTTGCAAGGTCTATCTCTAAATAATCCTAAAAATTATATTAAAACTGGTTATTATAAAATTCTTTGTAGGTTGTAGATAAAAAAACATGCCATGCTAGAAACCACCCCAGTTATGAAGACAGTATGGCTTGTCTTCCTCCGTATCTCGTTTCCTCCGCTTTGAAACTGTAACGGAACTATCTTATTCCCTCACTGCCATAAATCCGAAACTTTCATGTCGAACCTTGTAAGCTATTGGCATATAAATTTTCATCAAACATAAACCAATAAGTTAATACGACAACTCTTTATAAATAGTTGAACAGTTTTTGTAGGTGGTTCTGTTGATAACATTATCTTAAATATGCAAATGATTGCATGTTTTCTAAATTATATCAATTGATTTTAAATCACATATGTTGTATTATTGCCACTCATACAAGTTTCGCAGCTTATTTGAGTTTTTCTTTTCTTAGCCATTATTCCCACGGTGTAGAGACAGTGGCAGAGCCCGAAATCGCTCTCAGGAGAGACCTTTTAAGACACATAAAAGAAATTAAACCAAATATAGCAATATAATTAATTGGAGAAATATTTAAGGTTTCTTTTTTTATTGGCATGAAATATTTGATGATTTGACACCAAAAAAAAAGAAAAAGAGTGATGGGATGTTGAACTTTTTATGAAAATTTACTATTGAGATGATTATATCATAAAAACATAATTTGTTTACAAGTTTTAATATAAAGGGGAGATTCGAACAAAAAGTAAGTTCATAACTCAAAATTATTACCATGAGATTTTTCTTTGAACACAATTGAACCTTCTTCTAGCCTTATTTTATATGAACTGAACAAAAAAATTAATTAATTTTTATATGATAAAATAGAACGCTAATTATAAGGTTTATATAAACTAAACACAAAAGGAATCAGTTTTTCTGTGGTAAAACAAAAGGGTAAGGTTTGTTGCCCTTTATTGTAGAGATATTTCTTGCGCAGTTGCATTCAAGAGTAGGGTTTGTTGCCCTTTATTGTAATTTCGTTCCCGCTTAATATCTTATGCATGTTATGTATGATTCTATGTATCATTGTACCACTACTTTTTGCTGCCAATTCTAGGGAACCGAAGTGTAACAAATTGTTTGTTCTGTTCCTCTTATTATAAGATATCAATGTCATTAAGTATAAATATAAACTCTAAAACTTCAGACAACACACTTTGCCACTATAGGAATGAGATATATGGTGTGTTAACTTATTTGAATCATGCTCAATCAGTTTGCCTATTGAACTTAGACTGGGATTTCCAATCAACTAAGTTAGGTTATGTCCGACTGATTCATTGGTTATATTGGCTTTAGCCTCATTCTCCTCGATGATCAACTTAATAAATGGATCATGTAGGTTGACTATCTACAATTGTGTGCACATTCTATCTTATGACTTTATATTTCATACGAGAGTAGTTGTTTTGAATGTTAAGTCTCCATCACCTATGTTGGGACTTAGTAAGTAATTTGCTATCACTTGGGCATGTTCGCCCACACTTGTGGTACTTGTAGGAAGGTCTATAACCTCTTCATGCCTTTAAAATATTATTATTATTATAATAAAGAACCATTGTTTACTATATCTTTTAAAATGTAAATGACTCTTTTCAATTTAGACATTGTGTCTTGGCCAAATCGACAAACTATCACATTATATGCCCAGGACTATATCCTCTAATATCTCTTGAAGCCAATATGCTTCCTCTATAGCCTTATTGTAGGCATGAATAAATTCCACTATTAATTACTTATGTCACTGCGTATACATCCACCTATATACCCTGACACTAATTACCGAAATTCAATTATTTAGCATTATTGGATTTACCTAGTACATGTGGATCTTAATTGAGTAATCTAATACTAGAATACAATACAGTGGTAGAGTTAATATGGGATCATTAGTCTCCAACTTCTTCAAAAAATTATGTAGATTTGTATGTGAATTGTATTTGACCGTAGTATAAACAGTTAAGGCAAACTAAATTACAATCTCCTCCTCCTCCTTCTATTTTTTTATTTTTTATCATCCATGTCTTGTTCTCTCTTCTTGTGTGCGACTCTATTGTGCCCATAAAATGATGAAATGCTTCAGTTGACAAGTCTTGGCCGTACTCAACATTACTTTACAGTTTCCTGTAGCCACTGTTGACAAGCCTCTACATATCATAGTAGTTGTTGACATATGTTGGCATAAGCCTTCAGTAGATGTTGGCAAGAATCGACTTGTTCCTACCAGGTGCTTAACGAAATGGTCCAATCAATTTTTTTGGTCGAAATCATGACCCTATTATTTGGAAATCCAGAATCCTCCACTGCTAGAATAACACAACAACGACCATGGCCATTCATATGCTTACTTAATAAGCATCATCATGTCTAATAATACAGTTTTTCTAATTAAATACCACAAACTTTTCAGTGTCCTCATTTCATTCAACGTAGGTTTCTTGACCCCCGCAATTCCTTGCTGATACGCGAACTAGATTCAGATTTGAATCATGGTGGATGTTGTTTTTAAATGAGTTTGGCTATGGTAGCATGTTAAAACGAGAACATTTCCTTATGAACCAGTACTTTTATACGATCCATAGTATGATATTTATACAAGATGTTTAGGTCGGAGGTAAACATAATAAAGGCAACCTTTTTGCTGTTGTTGGGATTTCGTTCGATCGCCATTGACATGCATTCCGTTGCCTCAAGTATGCAAGAACATAATAAAGTTAGAAAAGTGGTTAATAAGTCTTTATCAGCCTCATTATGTACAAGTTATATTATACAACGACAAAATGTTTTTTAGCAGATCAAGAAAAATAAAATAAAATAAACTATAAAAAATGAACTACGTGGGTGCACAGTGCATCCATAGAGATTAGGGATATGCTTAAATTGATGCCTTCATCTTTCATAAGATCTCAAAACAGCTAACACTATTATTTTATGAACAAGACGGTAGGAGTTGTAGTGCTCCTTTGTAGCACAAAAAAGTTTAATTTTCTGATGCTTATGTCTCAGGTGGACCTGCATTGTGTGTTCTACCAGGAGCAGATGGCGGAATTGGAGTACCCTTTCGCAACATACCAAAATACAATCCTCTTGATGATATTTTGTGAAGAGGTGATGAAGTCACTCCAGTTCCATGTTCTTCACCTGCTGCACCAGGTTGAATTGAAGAGCCTTTTGGTAATTTACCAAAGCTTGATGGAAATGGACCAGGTGTTGGACTATATTGTCCCTTGCTAGGACCAGATGGTGCGATTGCAGAGCCCTTTGATATGATGCGGTCCGGTGTAACCCATATTCCAAGCAACCGGTTATACTTCTCTTCGCTGCCATCAGAGGAGGAAGAGGCGAAGCCTAGGGCTAGCACAAGGAGTAAGGCCGGCCATGAAAAGTTTTGGTAGGATAGTGACAGTCCAATGATATGCTTATCCTTCTCTCTTTGTTTTTGTTGTTTCTGAATGAAAATTATGCTATGCTGTTGTGCTCATATAAGAAATTAGGTTTAACTTTGATAGGAAATTTGTAAAAAGCATTCTTCATTTTCCTTAAATGGTTATTTACTATTTATTAGCAATCTGAATCCATGTTAGGTTTGTGGTATATCAAGTTTTATTATATTTGTATTTGGTCTATGTAGCCAATAATTTTTTTCCTTTTGAGGTTTACCAGCTATGGAATTTCACCAACCATATACCAGGTATGGAAGGATAGGAGGAAATATTATAACCAACTAGCCTTTAAATTAGTAGTACCAGATTCAATTCACTTGAATTAGAGGCATATAGGAAGAAATATTATACCAAACTAGCCTTTAGTTTGTCGGTACAAGCTTCAACTCACTTGAACTTGCCGCGTATAGGAGGAAATATTATTATGAACTAGCATTTAGTTTTCTGACGAATTCACATCATAAATTGACTGCATCAACACAAATGAAATAATAAATTCGGGGTAGTACAGCATAGGGTTTTTACTTTCATTGATAAAGCAACTCACATTCATTTGCACTGAGCCTTCAAAACTGGACACGTGTCACACAAATTTCGAGCAAGAGCTACCACTCATGCATTGACAAGGACTCACTAGTCTCAAGGGAGAAACTAAGACACCCTCTCCTAAATGAATTCTTATACGCTTAGAATATGCTACCGCTAGTCTAATTTGGTTGAAATTGGTATCAAATTCGCCTCACATGGATATATAGCAAATTCTATACTCAATGTGATTGACCCCATTGTGATGGGGTGACTATTGTGTGTGAGTTATCCCAATACAAATACCTCACAAAAACAAGGTAATTATGGTAGTCAATAAGCATTCTTTTCTACCTCATTAGTCATAACTACCAACAATTTTTGGTCTAACAAAGACCATCCCATTTATTCATCTTCTCATGAAACTACAATTTCAAGTCTTCATTTACATATTCTATTTAAACATATTGACCAAAAAAAAAAAAACAAAAGAACAAACTTCGGTTGAAATTTTGGCCTTCTACACTACATTACCACTACCTCTGCTACTAGCTCTTCTATCAACTTCCTCTCTACTTCCCAACCTATTACGTCTATTTCGTCTCCAAAATCCAACCACAGCGAGTCACGTTGCAGCTCTTTCTCCAGATTGTCCTCATTCGCATTCTCTTCTTGGCTTGCTAGCAACGTGCACAGAACATCTTCGACTGCACTTGTATTAATCCACTTGGGACCAATTCTTTTGCTCGCTGGCCTTACCCATGGGTGTGGATCAGTGAATTGCTCAAACATCTCCACGAGCCCTGAATTGATTCGATCGAACAGTAATTTCCTCTCGGGCTTTGGCCAAGAAGTCTGACGGTAGTACTTCTTCTCCAGTTCTTCAAATAGTAAAGGATTCACAGGACAGTCTGGGGTGTGCCACATTGCCAAGAAGGTAGCCGGATCAGCATTGTTTAAACCAGATTCAGTTAAAGTATTGGCCAAGTATACAGACTCCCAGCTCTTTTCATCTTTACAAAATCCTCTTGCATCTGAAAACCCAGTAGATCCATCACCAACTTCATCATCACTCGACACTTCCATGTGTCCCTCTTCATATGGTTCTGACTCCAACTTCAGTAGCTTAAGCTGCATCCGAAGCCCTACAAACCAAATAAAAGATGAACATTAAAGCAAACAAAAGGAATTAAGTCAATTAAATATACGAATGCACAACACAGTGGAAAGACAAGTGCATCATATTTGTAACAAAACTCAAAGCAGATTCAGTTCAAACAACAATTAAACTCCCACCAGTGACTAGAAGATAATGACTAAAGCATATCCTTTACCCGACACCTAATTGTGTGCTTCCTTATGTGTATTCATTAAAAAAAAATCAACTGACTTCTCACACACAATATGTTGCTATGTTTATACGAACATTTTACGTGGTTAGTAAGTATCATCTTACTATCCGGGCTTCATTACAACAATCGATATGCACATTAACACCAACATATTCTATGAATACTGGAAGAAGGCAATAGCTTTGCAACATTAGCACATTAGCACCCACACACTCATAGGGAACTGACACTAGAAACAAAAGAAATATAATCAATATAAATAGCCTTGCAATTACCTTGCAGGTCAGCATTGAGACTCTCAAAGCATTCAGAACTAGATGACACATCATCAGTAAAAGGAACTTCCAGAACTGAAACCGGACTGGGCTGCTCAGCCTCCTTGGAGCTTGCAGGAGATTCGATTCCAGGTACAGAGTGGTTAGAGGGGACTGCCTGTTCATTGGGCGGCCTGATTGATGGTTCCTGAAAATTTAATGAAAATATTTGAGACAAATTTTTTTAAATACTAGCCCTGCTTCCAACTGAGCAGGGAAGGAATTTCAAACACGTCTAGAAGCGACATATGTTAACAGTATGATGAATTGATGCATCTACTTGTTTGTATAAACGGTTATGTGATAAAATAATGAACATCCCACAATGAGCAATTTGCAACATAAACATGTTATTGGGAACAGCAAAGATGAAATCAGAGGAAATATCAACAGAAACAGGTCTCCAACAATTCTATATCATTGCAGCAGTGATATTATCATACTGCACAAATAAAAAAGTAAAAAAACAAGCAGAAAACTTGAACACAAACCTGTGGAATTACATTATCCTGGTGTCCACCAGATGAATAGCCTTCTACCGACATATGAGATGATAATTCTGGAAGGAACACATCAGGAGTTTCCGAATGCATGGATGCATCCACATCCACCAAATTTGCAGAAACTGGACTTGCATCCATAGCATTACCAGGTGGTGACTCAAATGCAACATTCTTCTGGGTTTGATTGTTCTCTTCCAAGTCAGTTCTATCTTTATTCTCAGTAGTATGAGTTTCAGGTGAAATGTCAATAGCTTCCCTACTTGAGGGAGACGAATAAGATGTTTTATTGCTGGATCTAGACTGTTTGCAAACAGCTTCTCTAAGATCAAGATTACCAGTTACTATACGGTGTCTTTTGTGCGGCACACTATCCTTTGGCATCGGATACTTGTCATTATGTACAGTTTCACACCGCACACTTGTTTTAAAACTTCCAAACACACTAGATGAAGAAGGAAGAGATTTTGATCTTGATAAACTATTGATGCATCCATCCTTCCAACCATCCCTACTGCTGATACCCAGAGGTCCACCCCCTTCAGTAGAAAATGTATCTCTGAATCCTGCCTCACCAATCATGGCATTCAAATTAGCAGCTCGCGCTTCCTTGTCTGGGACAGCAAGCATTTCACCAAGTGTGCTGCCCCTGCTAACAGGTCCCACTTCTTGGGACTTGTGTGTCAGTTTCCACCTCTCTGAGAGCCTCTTCTTGGCCTCTCTACTCACAGATGATTCAGTAGAGCACGATGATGAAGGCCTGGAGTGGTTACTTATATGAAAGGAATGCCTGGAAGCCACCGACATCCTCTCTGACTCATTTGCAGATTCATTCTCAGACATGCTACAGGAACTCTCATCACCAGCATATCCTTTCAAACCAGAGGAGGAAAGATGCACAGAATTACTGCTAAAGTTATTCCTCATTTTCCTTGTGATTTCCTTAGCAATTTCTCTAGATTCTCTAGACTTGTGTCTCAGATGCCCATCATTATCTTGAAAGTTTTTCCTTCCGCATGATTCTGCCTCCCTGTTTCTAATGCTCAGAAATTCAGCGTGTTTGCTACCATCTAACATAGAAGCATGAGGAGAACAAGGTGATGTTTTGGGAGCATTCAGCACCTTCCCAAGGTTTGGTTTCAGAACAACTATCCTTGTAGGATGAATGGCAGATTCAATTTTCACTTCTGGTCGGTTTAGTGATGATTTAAGAGGATTATGACCAGCATGTCTACTGTCAGAGTGGCTAGAAAAAGAATCCCGGTGCTTCTGAGGAGATTTACAGCGATGCTTCTGCTCTCTCGCTGATGTGAAGCCAAGGTCAATGTTTTCATACTTTTGAGCTTCTGATGGCTTCATAGATGCTATGCGACCACAAAGGGATTGAGGACCACCTTGCAGATCATGGAGATGTTTTGCGAACAATGAGTCTGGTTGCTGAAGGAATTTCAATAGAATATCCTTGTTAGATTCCAGCACCTCAAGCGCATCATGGAACTCCTTTGAATCCTGTAGCCTCTCATCTGTTGAAAGGCGTTTTGCATCCATGAATTTCTGTCGAACAAAAGCCATTTCAGCATCACTGAGCTTTGGGTTAGCACTTCCTCGAGATGAGTAACTCCTTGAAGGTTCATAAACTTCAAACACATCCTTAAACTCCTGCTGCACCCTTGAGTTCTTCCTAGACGAATGGCGGTCATGAAACATACTGCTTCTGTGCTCTTTCTCTACCGATCTTGTCTTCTGAAGATAATTCTCTGAAATGCCTTTCGATTGTCTATCAGCAGGCTGCTGAGGTGGCAGCCCATCAAGACCCATCAATTTGGCAATTACGCTTGGTGATCTCCTTCTGGGTTCAGTTTCTCTCACCATCTCCTCAGCCAATAACTTCTTTATTGGAGTTCCAACACCTTGCTGTGAAGATCTCCAGCCCAATTCAGAGGGGAACTGCAAGAACATAATTAACACACTTCATCAAGCATGTCACATTGTAATTGTTTTTCAATACCAATATAAATCCAAACGAGGCCAAAATTCAGAAAAAAACAAAAACAAAGGAAGCGGAATCTTTTGGCTCATTACTCTGCTCAAGTTACAAAATGAACAGAAAAGCAAAATAAACCCCGAGAACTCTAGGTTTTATAAAAAAACACTTCATGAACTCCGTTGGAGAAAGACAAAAAAAAAGAAAAAACCATCCAAACAAAATCCTTCCCCATCATCAAATGAATTGGGTTTATTTTTCTTAACTATTGTGTTCGAAGTGTTCTTTCTCTTAAAGTGTAACGTTATCAAGGGCATACATGTACAAACCCCAAATAAAATCATGCAGCTCAATACACACAACTAGTAAATAGGAAATGAGATTACCGAGTCTTCGCCGGTAGAGCCACTACTGCAAGAACTCGAATCAGAGGCCAATTTCCGAAAGTGTCTCTGTTTCGGAACCTGCCTGTTTCCTGAAAACAAAACCTACAAACATCAGGATCACCATTTCAAACAACAGACAAACTGAGAAGAATGCACTGCACAAAATTTACAAGTAATTAGACATCATCAAATGAATTAGAATCCAACCCAGTAAAACTAGATGAAATTTCAATTGTGCCCCTTTCACAAATCACAAGGAAAGGAAACATGGCAATCAATGTCTTGAAAATAGCATGCAGAAAACAGAGGAAGCTTCAATTGTTCCCTTTGACTCATAAAAAGAAGCAAAGCAAATCATGGCAAATGCCACTACAGAAAAAGTCACAAACTTTAGCAAAATTACAGAGACAATACCAAAATTAACCTGCGTTGCATAAGTATTAGAGCAAAATTAAAAAAAAATTAATTAATCAATTAATTAAAGCTGCTAATTAAATATAAATTGTTGTCTTTACTGGATAATTTGATAGAAGAAAATTTGACAAAAATAGAAACTAGTTACTAAGTTCAGAAATTTGTAATTTTCTTCAAGTGAGCCGTATAGTTTAGCTTAATCTTTCCGTTTCGAAAAAACCATGGGGAAAAACTAACAACTTTCAGCAAAAAACAACTGAGATTTTCTCTTCCACCTTTCCTTTTCTTTCCCTCCACTTTCTCGGCAACCAAACAGGGTCAGAAGTTCAGACAACTCACAAATCAAAAACCCACAAAAACAAAACAAAAAAAAGAATTTCAGAGAAAACCAGACCTCCTCTGTGAGCTCGCTCAGCGGAGGCGAACCGTCCTCCGACGGCGCTCCTGTCAGCAATGCTCGTCACCTTAGACCTCCGAGGCCGAAAGCTCTCCATTTTCACACATTAAAAATCCAAAAATTGAAAATTTAACAAAGTGCGGCAGATACGGAGATCGGAAACTCCGCAGCGACGCACGCGCCGCGAAGGTTCTCAGAAAATCACAGAAGAAAAAAAAATAAAAATAACCCTAAATTTCAGCTCCCCACACTCTGAAGAGAGAATCAGAAAAAACCAGATCTTGAACCGAAACAGAAAGTGAGAGAAGCCAGCAGAAAACGGGGAGGGAGAGAGAGAGAGAGAGAGAGAGAGAGTGTGTGTGTGTGTGTGTGTGTGATAAAGAGGCGTCCGTTAGTGAGAACCGCTAGAGAGAGAGAGAGTGGAGTGAGACTGGGGGTGTGGTGTTGGGTGTGAAGAGAGAGAGAGAGAGAGAGAGAGAGAGAGAGTGTTTTGGGGTTTTGTTTTGTTTTGGGATTTTTTGAACTTTCAAATACCGATATACTGACGGGGGAGGCTGAGGCTCTACGCGGGCATGTGGTTTGTGTGCGTGTTGTGGATGGACTACGGTAAGGATGGTGTGAGGTGAAACAGGGTATGACTCTGCCAATTTTCCAGGTGTCCTTCATTGGATGTGGCCACGTCACTATCTTGTTTGGTCTTCACCCTTTGTTTGCTTGGTCTTTTTATAACAATTTCATGGCTTTTGTGGTGTTTCATTCCCATTTTGTTTGAATTGGCAAAATTTACACTTTGTTAGGGTAATTAATGTAACGATTCATGTAAGTCGACATTATGGACGTTTGAGCTATTTGGATCATGTTTGTCGTTTGCGTGACAACTTATTCATATGTAGCTCTGTTGATCGGCGTCCGGCATAGCCAAAATTTCTTATTATTTTTAATATGGATTCGCCATCCCCAGAAATGTCAAAATTGAGTTTGCTTAATTACAAAGATCTGTGTACTTACCTAAACGATCAATTTGCCGACATCAAAAAAGGCCAATTTTTTTTTTCCAACATCTCATCTTTCAACTTGCCTAAAAGATCAATTTGTTAGCATCGAAAATGACTAAAATTTGGTGTATTTTCAACCACGCATCTTTGTATTTGCCTAAATGATTAATTTGTCAATGTCGAAAATGGTAAAAACATGACGTACTTCTCCAATGACAGCACATCTCTCTACATACCTAAAAGATCAATTTGTTGCCATCGAAAATGGCTAAAATTTGATTCACTTCTATGAAACAACGTATCTTTGTACTTGCCTAAATGATCAATTTTGTCAGGCTCGAAAATGGCAAAGACTTGACGTATTTCTCCAGCAATAGCATATCTCTTTACTTGCCTAAAAGATTAATTTGTCGGCACCGAAAATGGCTAAATTTTGATTCACTTCTCTGACAACAGCGTATCTTTTTACTTTCCTTAATGATCAATTTGTCAGCGTCGAAAATGGAAAAAAGACTTGACGTACTTCTCCAACAATGGCACATCTCTCTACTTACCTAAAAGATCAATTTGTTGGCATCAAAAATGGCTAAAATTTGATTCACTTCTCATAAACAATGTATCTCTATACTTGCCTAAATGATTAATTTTGTCAGAGTTGAATGATCAATTTGTCTACTCACCTAAAAGATCAATTTGTCGGCATCGAAAATGGCTAAATTTGATTCATTTCTCTGACAACAACGTATCTTTGTACTTGCCTAAATGATTAATTTCATCAATGCCAAAAATGGCAAAAACCTAATCTACTTCTCTACCAACAACATGTCTCTCTACTGACCTAAAAGATTAATTTATCAGCGTAAAAAAAATGGCTAAAATTTTTAGTGTGTTACTTGAGTACTAAATTGTAAAAACCTAATTGGAAGTTGTATGTGCTTTGTAGTCTCTCTAGGAGAGTTTCTAGTTTGCTTTTAGTTTGGATCAATCACTGTGTTGTTTTGCGGTTGATTTGTCTTATCAGCTCAAGTAAGAGCAATTTTGGTGGTTGAATTAGGGGTTTTTATTTGTTGGTTGGGATGTGATTCTCTTTACATCATTTCATCTTTGTTTTTGGATTCGTTATCAATTTGATGTTGACATTGGTCTCTGGAAATGTTTTGTTCATATTTAGTATCATGTTTGACTTTCGTATGGATGTTTTTTGCAATTGAGATTAATTGGGTATGTTCATGTTGTATTACTTAAGCATTGTAAAGTGAATAACAATATTGATAGACTGTTGTACTAGTTGCAAGCATTTTACATCCAAATTCAACAATATTATTTCCACTAAAGAAATGAGGATTTACGCTTGCTATAATTTTATGGCAATCAAACTCGTCATTCATATGGTAATCGAACTCCTCATTTATGTAAATTAAACTTAAAACGTTTCATTTACTAGTAAAGAGAAATACCACAATTGATTGAGTATAAGGTTAAATTATTAGATGATTTTATGAGTCCAAAAATGCTGGAAAAGGTTAAATTATCCACAATTGGTTGAGTATAAGGTTAAATTATTAGATGCGGTCGGGGACAAATACCATGATTCCACCAAACCTAAATTATTGTGGAACTAACTTGATAGAAATATGTAATTACGTATCACCCCTCCAAGATTCCACCAAACCTAAATTTATATCCTTTATTTTTACAAATAAATTTTTAAAACAAATTGTCACTCATTGGGAATCAATTTGTGCAGAGAGGGGAAATATGATATTGCTGTGTGCTGGCACAGTTACTCATCTTTTTTTTTTTTTTTTTGTATATTTTATTTCCAATTTTTTGGATGAATGTGGCTCTATCATCTTTATGATATGTAAAATAACACAAACCAAACAAGGAGGGAATCTTTAATTCTTAAAGAATTGAGCTAATTACGTAGATGAAATGTAAACTCTTGTAGTTGTGGGTTTTGTTTTGTTTGTGGAGTTAAGGCAATAGCCAACCCTTTTGTTTTGTTGTGGTGGGGAGGAAACAAATGTCATTCAATCATGGGTCTTGTGTTCTAACAAATTATATGAGCATCGAAAATGGGCAACTTCATCCAATATTTTATTTGGATCCATATTTTAACACATATGGTTCAATATTTTTTTGAGGCAAAAATGTTTCATTAATTACCGAGAAACATTATGGATCAGTAATATAATTTTATGTTTATAAGCGCAACAGAAAGACAAAACAAATCTTACCCTTTATAATCATGTCAAATAAAATGGAAAGATACGCTCACAAGGACAAAATCTTGCATCACTTTTTTATGAACTTGCAAAAGACAACGCTTCTTCAACAAAGAAGCCCTACTATGAGACTTCACAAAGATGTTCTCATAATCCTTTGCCAGGCAAATAAACAACTAAACCACAACCAAAACAAAACAAAGGAAAAAAAAAAGTGGCACGACACAAAATAAAATCTTCAGAGGTACAATTCCTCAACCACGAGAGACCCACACCTAACCAACATGAAAGATAAGCTCACAAGGCCTAAACCCTAAGAGTCGGACCTAACACTGTTAAGACACACAAAGTAATCACAGTACTATCACATGAAGGTTGTGCCACGACAAGAAAACATGATTGTGAATCCCCTAAAACACTATAACGACCCCATGACGGGAAGACTGCACCACCTGTTGATGATCTTGCAATCATCGGCAAAAACTTTTCTATGAGTCACCTCCAACAAACGTTGAGCTTCCTCCGCATAATCCTTGCTAAGTGTACAAACCACAATCACCACCTCAGATTCAAATAGTAGTTGTTGCTCTAACTCTAGGATCTGGAGTTGAGCAATAAGTCATAATCGCTACAAAAGCTCTCCTCCTCATAAAGAGAGAGTAACCACAACCACAAAAGGCTCCCCTCAACAAAGTAAAAAAGTGACCATACTAAAAACAAGAAAAGAAAAGAAAAAAAAAAAAAAAACGGATCAAGAAGGATTGCCACCAACCCCAAGTCCAAATGCTGGGTTGCGGGGTAAGTTTTTTCTTTGGTTTTCTTCTCTCTAAAGACCAGGGTTTTTTTTTTTTTTTTTTTTTTTTTTTTTTTTTTTTTTTACCATACTAAAAACAAGAAAAGAAAAAAAAAAAAAAAAAAAAACGGATCAAGAAGGATTGCCACCAACCCCAAGTCCAAATGCTGGGTTGGGGGGTAAGTTTTTTCTTTGGTTTTCTTCTCTCTAAAGGCTAGGGTTTTTTTTTTTTTTTTTTTTTTTTTTTTTTTTTTTGCCTTTTTCCTTTCGTACATATGGTTAAATATTGAATGGATACACTAGTCACTAGTCGCACATATCATTTCCAATATTCACTAAAAGAAATCTCATTTGCAGTTAAGAATGTTGCTTCTATTCGATTAATACAAGACTCATTGACCCATATCAGTCAACCTTAAGCACTTGTCGGATGTACTAAAATGAAACGTTCTAACTTTCTTCCTAATTTACTAGGATATCGTGTCTTAAATGAAAAAAATATTGAATGTGGCAAGCATACTACAATGTGGTGTTATTAAATCAAATATTATAAATTTAGTCAACGACGAGTTTAAACTTTAAGAGTTAACATTAAGTAAGTTAAAAATCGATTCCGTCCAATGTAATAAAAGAGAAAAAACAAAAGTTCATGAAGTTACAACGTAATACTTAGATTTTGGATTGTTTGCTAGCTACCCTTTCATGCGTACTCAAACCATTAAACTTTATGCTAGAAAATGTCAAGGATAATGAATCGTAAACAAAGAAAACTCAAAGCACCCATGATTGGGTTTAAGTTTATTTGATACGTATGATAGTGTGTTTTTGCATGCATATATGATTATCAAGTTAAAATATAAGGAAAACTAATGAAAATGACTTGAAAACTTTGAGTTTTAATGATAAGGACAAAATAAAAGGTAAAGTAAATAGAACCAGGATTGATTTTTTCGTGTAAAAATATGATTTTTCGTTAAAGTAAACAGTACCGTGGACTTTTCTTTAAAACTCTTTTATATATACCAAGGTGTGGGCAATAGAAGAAATAGCTAAGTTAATAATAAAAAAATGGTGTCTTTTGTGTAGGAGCTAGGTGACCATAGACATGAAGATACGCAGGCAAAGCATTGGGTGTGTATTACTCTTTATATACAATTATGGGATATGCTATCCACACTCTTCATTTGATTTTTCACACATTCTTTATTAATTTATGTCTGTTGATCTTTTTCAATTCATCCGATTCGACGTTCGAAAATTAGAAGGGTGTGTAAGAAGTAAAAAATAGTGTGTGGATATCACATCCCTACAATTATATATAGGGAAGTGTTATTGGCACTCCAAAAATCTCATTATACATTCTTCATAAATGTATTTTTCTTTGCAAAAATAAAAAGTTAAGAGTATAAAATAAAAATTTTAAAGTGCTAATAACAATATTATATATATATATATATATATATATATATATA